TCTCTCTCTCTCTCTCTCTCTCTCTCTCTCTCGGACAACCCAGATCATTTCTAAAATTGTGGTTAATTTAGATGATGAGGCAGTTGAGGTGGGTATACTGTACCTTTAAATGCGTATATGACCCCGTTCAAACAGATGGCGGCGTCTACTTTAGCGGGCAGTGTGTCGAAAATCTCCTTGCACCTCTTAGGAAACCCTTCGGCCAGTTGCGGGCCCTCGTATTTGTAACAGTCCTCGCCCTGTGTTACCACGTTTCAAATAAAACACGTTTTTATTTTTTAAAAATCAATGTAATTTGCAAAATTATTTTATCAAAAATTAATGTAGTAGGTAAAGTTGAAATATTATTTGAAATATTTCTGATTATTCTGTACTGAATTAGTCCACAAACCCAAAGAATTATGGTAAACATTATTATAATAATAGCCAGTTTATTATAATTTTAGCAAATCAACTATAACATCATTTATTACTATTTATTTGTACTAAAAAGCAATGAATGAAGTAATTGAGTATATTGTAATATATAGGATAGTCCAACAATAAAGTTGATATTTTCAAATTGTAAGTATCATTAACTCAATTAATTCCTAATTACAGCTCTTTGATTGCTGTAGATTTACTTACATAATTATTAGCTAGCTCATATTAACAGCATAGCAACTAGTATACCATCTCAAAATAACTTACAAACGACTATAATAATATTATATTATATTCTAATAAATTACTAAAAGTTATAAAAGTAAAATTTGATCAAACAATGTGATTAAATATAATAAAGTTAATTTTATAACAATATAGACCATATCTAATTCAATTATTGCAAACGGAATTTCAACGACTACTTTAGATTAAACTTACAGTTCACACCCTAATAAATGTATATTTAACAAATGTAAAACTATTTAACCTAGCATATACCATTAATTAAAACAACACTAACAATCTATATTATCACAAAAAACTCACCTTAAACACATAAATACTAGCATCTGGCAACTCAATAACGGCGTCAATACTACCCTCAATGGCCGGGAATAGGTCGTGAATGGGCTTAGGATACTCGGAGTCGACGGTCATTTCATCAGAGTGAATTTTCCAATAGTGTTTGTCAATGAACACGAATATAGCGTTACTATTGTTACGCTTATACATAGCGCTAATGGAGGCGTTGTTGCATATGTTGGGCACTTCGGGTACACCGGGTCGGGCGCCGTATAGTATATGGGCGGCGCGTATGTCGTCCTGAGACAGTTTCCACTCGGTCCGATAGGGTGGGTACACCGGGTTCATTAGCGAGTCCGATACGTCCGAGTGATCTAGACCGAGCGAGTGACCTAGCTCGTGTATGGCCGTTACCAGCACGTTTGAACCTTGTTGGTGAAATAGTTGAATTTAATATTTAAAATTTTATGATTTTGTTTTTAATGCAATTTAAAATTAATGTTATTCAGTAAATTATAACCATGGTATGTCTTAAAATAGTTTACTATTGTATGTGTATGTCCAATTATTCCATTTTAATAACCTCTGCTAAATATAAAATATTATTTTTTATTAAATTTACAGTACATATTTAATAATAATTATAATGATTCAATCATTAAATAATAATAGTATATTTCTTGTTGTTATTTAATTAATTAATTATGATAAAAATATTAGACATGCTAGTTACTTGTGCTCAATGTATAAATTATATAGAATTTTAGAATATAATAAAAATAGATAACTGGTATAATTATAATTAAATAATATGTAATAATCTAATGTACAAAGTGACTGCGGTGATCCATTATACTAAAATTCCCATAACTTCAAACATATACAAAACCAACTTTTTGGCGAGTCTACAGTTCATATCAGATTTTATGTAATTAACTTACTTGTTAGTATTAAATCATTAATTTTGTACTGCTATAATATTAGGCAAATTAATAAATCAAAATGCATTATCATTACAAAGAATACTGGATTCTACATGGATTATAATTGCTGCATAATTTTATCTAGATTATTTTTAAAAAGCATAATTCTTGATTTATAAAATGTGTAAAGTCACATCACAACAAATATAGACAAAACTAACCTTCTGGCGAGTCGACAGTCCATATTTCATCATCGTCAAAATGCGCGTCACCGCCGTACTGCGGGAAATACGAGTGAGCTAACACTTTCCCTGCCCCATCCAGGGCATCGCCATCACCATGCTCGCCCCTCTCCCACCTTATATCAATAATGACGTGACGGGATGGTGTGCTGGCGGGCATACGTGTAAAAATGAGCGGGGTCACATCGGACCACACCTTAAACGCTTTGCGTATTTGGTCGTCGATCAGGTGCTTATCGGCGTTGGACCTGAATTTTGTCGGATATTTCGTAACTTTATACGTGATGTTTGTGATCGTCCACCGACTGCCTAATGATTGTCACACCCGGTAATCAAAATAAATAATTCTATTAGTTATAGTTAAGATTTCTATCTCATTTTAATTTTTTAGTCAATTTTTTACACAACTGGTATTTAACTAACGCACTTGAATTTAGCTTATAGTTAATAAATCAATCTACAATTTTATATGTTGGTCATTATAAGCAATATTAAAAATTTCTATAATAAGGTATAAATTTATTCATTTAATATTTTAACATGATAATAATCACTATAATTTTTTAAACTCACATATTGGATTAATTAAACCAACATAAACTAACCTGCTAGTGTGTGGCGTTTGGTTCGGTGATGTTTGGTCCGGTTTTTAAACTTGCCAAACTTGCCAATTGCGTTAAGCTCATCAAGTTTAAGACCCAGGTAATTCATAATCTTTGCCTTCAGAGTCATATAGTTGGGCTCTACGCGCTGTTCGCCCATGTCTTTACCCCCGCACCGGGGCTTATTCATACGTAACATAGTGTCCATATCTGCCTTACCTATATTATTTATAACGTGATAAAAATCATATTTATAAAGTAACACGATTAAACAATTATAACTTATTCATTGATTTTTAATTGACACTTTTAATATTTACTACATTAATCCCTAAATTACTATGACTTGTAGCTAGTTAGAAACTTTGTCATAGTACTAACAACTATTGTTATTTTATATAATAACTGTAATATAAATTAAAATTTTTAATAATTATAAAATTATAGCTCGATTTTGATTACTATATGGTTAACATAAAGTATCACATATTTTACTTCTCTATTTTTATTATTGAGCTTATTGTTTTAATAAATATAAATTTTAATAAATTTTATTAAAACAATTTTGTCTATCACCTATCCCTCCAAAAAATTATAATTCAACAATCTAGTCTAATAATAGATACTAATTACGATACATTTACAGTTTTATTTTAATTTTATAAACAATATTTTCCTTTAAATTACTACTAATTTTATTACTAATAATTAGATTCTCTCTCTCTCTCTCTCTCTCTC